GTGTGCTGCTAAGAAAGCAATGTGACCTGTGTTGTGAAGCAGTGCATACTGTAAGGAAGCTTTTCTTCATGACCAGCACAAATCTCCTTTGCTGCCATTTAAGTCCCTAACCTCCTGTCCTAGCTAGACTAGAAAGCACACCACAAAAATTCCCCTCCGCTTCAACACGTTTCTTATTCACCTCTTTGTCCCTCCATTGTTTTCCCTAAAAAAGACAAACTCAGTTCTTCAAGACTTTGCTCATTTCCACACTGATGTTCCCTGCAGAGCACTGGACTCACCTTCCAGAGTGATGAGTTTTCAGCAAAAGAGGCAGTGATGAGAGCAAGAACCCATTCAGGCTTCCCTCTGCTCCTTTCCCTTCCAGGTTAGGGCAATGCAGGCCAAGAAACAATCAAGGTTAGTAGCTGAGTGCCAACCCACTAGCTATGGCTATTTCTCTTCCTTGTCCCCTACTACAGCCCACCATGAGAATAAGCTTTTGCTGTGAACTCACTGACTGGACACAGCTGGCAGTGAAACACATCCAGCAAAATGTTGGTGGCTAGCAGGAAGTCTTTCTGGTTTTAATTGGTGATTACTCCAATTGAGTGAAATACAGATAACCCACCTTTTTTAGCTCTTGTGTTTATCTACTTGTATTTACCTCACCTCCTGCCTTCTTTATCCAAAATTGGAGCAGGCCTTACACTCTCCAATATTTCACTATACACTGGAAACCTTGAAAGCAGCAGAGCATAATTGGCATGGAGCCAATGTGGCCAGAACCTAGTGACATTAAGAGTCCCAATGCCCATCTGCAAGGCAGGGAAAAAAGGGGTATTTGGGTATTCTTGAGGATCTAACATTCACCATCACTACAGTGCACAGAAGATGCACTCAAAGGCAGTTTTCTCCCCCGTAAACACTTTGTCAAGAGACAGGCAGTCTAGTCTAATGTTTTCCAGAGCTCTGTAAGGATTTCTTAAGTTCCAGTTTTACTGCTTGGACCGGCTCTACTTCTAGTGTGGAGAAAATATCTGTAAAATGGAGCTGGTCTTTAAAACATCAGCACAGCGCTTTGAGAAATGCAGCTGAACAACATCTAGTCTTGCTACTCATATATCACAGGACAACCAGAGGGGGACAGGAGATAGCATAAAGCTTTTAAAACATATGGAAAACATTATCTAAATAGCAAAAATATGACATAAAACTATATACACATGCTTACAGCTCATATTTGAACTCTCCACAGCCCTTGCTAGATAAGTAGGGATAATGATTTTTTTATTCATAGCACACTGAAAAGGAGTCCCACTCATATTTTCACACGCCCCAGCAGTCAGACAGTCTCTCTGCTTTTATTTACAGCTAGAAGTCCTGGACAAAGTCATGGCACAGAGGAAAAAGGAAAAGCAACTGGCAGATCTCAGCTAATGCAAAGTACTGCCTGACATTTTTCAAAGAACAATCAATTGCAGAGGACTTGCTGTTAATCACTGTGAAACAGATACATTTCAGATCCCCACAGAGCATGATACAATGTGAAGCAGCTTCTTAGAGCAGCAGGGTTTTTTGTGAAGGGAGTTTGGACAGGCAGTTTTTCTTTTAAGCCTACATTTCTGACAGCTGCCTAGTACCCTTTTCACAGGCTTGTCACATTTGTACCGAGATATATAAATGCCTTCTCCTTTTTTCCTTCTTTTTTTGCACAATCTTTCACTTTTTTTAAGAAAAGAAAGATAGAAGCCGTATTTCCTATCATCTATAGATGAAGCCAAAATTTTTCCTGCCCAAGGAAATGGCTTCTTGTTATCTGAAGACGACATCTCTATTTTACAGTAAAAGCCTCCATCCTATTTTTTTTTCTGTTCTCCTTACTCCCTCCTCTCTCAAAGCTGAACTTATCCAATAGCTTGCAAAGGAAAGTAATAAGAGAAAGATGGTTTTGCTTTGTTTCCTGGCGACCAACACCACTGAGACCCCAGGTAGCATCACACTGGCTAATTCAAGATAGAAGCAAGTTCCATTACAGTTAAGTGGCAAGAGAGGATGCAGCAGTAACCTTGGCAGAGAAAATCCTTGCCAGAGCTGCCTGCTCTTCATGGTAGAATTCACAGTGATAGAGGAATATGTTTTGATTAAGAGAAATTATGTTCCATGTATGTTTATTTGGCTTTTGGGTTTTCTTTTCTCCCTCTATTAAGCTTAACCATGTTGGCTCACTTGCATTACCCTCTTTACCTGTAAAAGCCTTGAACAAAATCCCCTTGATGCAGGGCTAATACAAGAGGGCTCACTGTGGCTCCTTTAATAAGTCCCAGGGAAAGCTGGATCTATCTTCTTTGCATTTAGCTCAAACTGCCTCTGTCTTTCTCCAGAACAATGTACCCCTCAGGGTGAGGAAAAGTCCTTATACCAACAGTATGGCACTAAGTAGAAGAAAGTTCTTTGTAATGGCCCCTACTCCCAAAGAACATCAAAGGGGATAGCAGCCTGTGGGAATGAAGATCTTACAGGTCTGGACAATTGTGGGGGCTCAAAAGAAGGAGATCAAGGAGAGGTGATGAGAATTGACTTTCTGGTTCAGCCTAGAGGTTCCTCTAAACCCGTACAGAACATTGCAGACAGGCAGGTGACTCCTTGTTACAGAGGCTCCCTTTGAATGTGAAAAGATCTAGTTCCTCCAAGACATTCAGGCATGGGGCCAAGGCAGTGAGGTGCTTCTCAAGGCAACCACATTGCCTTCATGGAAAAACTCCCACCAAAACCATGTTACAGACTGTGCTGAGATCAGATACTCCCTAAGGAGCCAGAGCAATAGAAATGCAACAGGAAGAGAGCTTCCCATGCCTGCCATTACTGAACACCAAAGAGAGAATGCAAGCCCACAGGGATATGTTGTCTTCTGTCCTGTCAGTCACAGGTGTGACAGCTGGGACCTTTAGCAACTGTCAAAGGAGGAAAACCAAGGCACTCCAAATGCCAAGACCGTCAGCAGCATAATTAACATGTCATGTATGGTCTGCTCAAAAGAGCAACACCTACTGCACCTCCAACAGACAATGCTGCCCAGCTGGTAAATAATGTCTAAGTGACTGAAAAAATTAAGAAAAAACACAAACTGTAGAGTTTAGAAAGACAGAAATCAGTTTGTAGCCCATGGAGGAAGGGGCTTCAAGGGCATTGCTTCTCCCACTCCTGAGGCATGTCTCCGGAAATTCGTACCCAGTTGTATTCTTAAAGAACATCTGTTTCACATGGGCAGAACATATGAAACAAAAAGGATGGAAGTAAGTTCTGCAGGGAATTCAAAAGCCAATACAGGTTTGGGGATCTCAGCAGATGTGGTGTGCTCCCCACTAACCTGCAAGAACCAGTTTGAGGCAGGCGGCACCAAGCACCAGGTAAAAGGGAAAATTTCTCTCCCCCATCTCTGGCAGCATACTTTGGACAATCTTACCAATGTGAAGTGACAAGCAACAGAAAGAAAAACCCCATGTTGTGAAAGCCAGCCCATACAGAGAGCATTGCCAATTCTCCCCCTGCACAGATAAAATGGATGAGTGTGGTTAAGTGTAGGACTGTCCCAGTTAAGATAAAATACTTGGACAACCTAGATGAATGCTCAGGCTGAGGAAAATCTAAGATTTCATTTGAAAAAATGTAGATCTGTAGCCATGACTGACCAAAATGACCAGGCCAAGGACAGCACCTGAATCCACTGTTCAAACATACCTGAGCAAGCTCACTATCCCATTGCTTAGAAGTACAGGATTGGTGCCAGCATGGGCTCTTCCACAGCTGATCTCTGACACACAAATCAGGGAAGGCACTGGAAAGGGAAACTCGGAGGGTGAGGTCCAGGTGTTACTGTAGGGAACAATGGACCTGTAAGGACTGGGTAAGACACAAGGAAAGAAGAGAAAAAGCAAGCATGCAAGAAAGGAACAAGAGAACTTCAAAAGTGGTAAGTCTGGTAAAAGAGTAAATTTTTATGGAATGTAACAATTAGCAACGGAGACATACAAAGAAGTTTTATCTATAGACTAGTAGAAAATTTAAAATTATAATAAAATAAAGCCAATCTATTTCTGCATAATAAATATATTGCTTCCCCTCTTCTTTCAGATTGAATTAAAATTATGCAGGTTAAGGATATCTTACAAACAACAAAGAATCTTAGTTTAGAAAATATTTGTGAAGGAAGTTCTCCTTGCTAGTTTCTATTTCTGAACAAGTGACTTGGAAAAAATCCTCTTCAATGATACCACTGGCTCCACAAAAATAGAGGATGTGCAGTCCAGTTCTTGTCTCCACATTACTTTCTTGTCTCACAAACAGAAAAGACCTGACCCTGTGATCAGCCAATCGGTTCCATTTAAGAGTTTGATCAGGAGTTCCTATATCAGAACAAAGGGAGAAAAAACAAAGCAGAACAAAGAGGTGAAATGGACACCTTGTACTCCTGATGACAGAAAAGGAGTTTCTGAGTCATGCAGAGAGCTCTCAACACCTCGATCAGATGGAGACAGGATATAGCACTATCTGAACACATGCTCAAAATGCTTTGGAGAGAAAAAGTTATATCCAAACTGCTGCTGTAGGCAGGAAGGTCATGCTGGGATTATAATCAGCTGTGTGAATGAGCACAGAGACATATCACATTTGGCTAGATGATTTTTTCGTTAAGACTTGCCAGTGGTACAGGGAAAAAAAATTGCCCTTATAATGAAAATTATCTCATTTGCAGCTCTGTGATAAATAGTATTTATCATGAATCTTTGATTCCTCATGCTGCTATTGCAGCTCCTCTGGGATGGCATTAATGTACCATTTCTCTCCATGGCTCCTACTTATCTCAAACAGTCTCTGCTACAATCAGGGTTTTTACCCCTGGCCTGTGAAATTTCTTGAATTATCTGATAAGGGCCAGTTTCAGCCACAATCACAGCAGGTCCAGGATTCTGCCCAAATGTTATAAAAAAAATGTGGGTCAACTGCACTATACACAGCAGTGTGAAGATAAGGGTTTTACTGAAACTTCTTTACAGAGTCGCATAAAAGTTGAGCATAGCTTCATCATTCAGTAGAAGCACGCTCATCTCATGCAATCAAAATCATCAAAAGGGATTGTACAGAAAGGAGTGTGTATTTTTAAAAAGTTATCTTTAACTAAGGTCTAGCACCAGACAAAAAACGTGAATATTTAAGTAAGTTAGACAGCAGCACATTTTAAAAAACAACAATAATTAGCACACACTAGCTTATATTTTCAAAGCATTTTACAAAAACTTGAATTAATTAAGCCTCACAACATCCTTGTGAGATAGTTAAGTATTATTAGTCCCATTCTAGAGACAGAGAAACAGGTATGAAGAGAGTATAACCTGCTCACCACCACACATGTCAAATCCAAGTACAGAAGATCAGATTTTCCATTTTTTGCCATGTGTGGTCAGATCACTTAAAAGCTTCTCAAATTTAAATTGTTTCCTCTCATCCTTTTTAAGACCTGTCCTTATTTCAGTCTGATTTGAAAAGGTACTCACCAAGTGCTATTTAAAGAATCACTGAATGGTTTGGGTTGGAAGGGCCTCTAAAGAACATGCAGTTCCAACATCCCTGCCATGGACTGGGACACCTTCCACTAGACCAGGCTGTTCATAGCTCCATCCAACCTGGCTTTGAACACTTGCAGGGATGAGGCATACACAGCTTCTCTGGCAAGCTGTTCCAGTGCCTCACCCCCCTCACAGTAAAGAAGTTCTTCCCAATACCTAATTTAAATCCCAATACCTAGCCTCTTCCAGTTTAAAGCCATTAACCCTTGTTCTATCACTACATACTCTTGTAAAAAGTCATAAGAGAGGCGCTCCAGCCGTCTGATAATCTTTGTAGTCCTCCTCTGGACTTGCTCTATTATGTTGGGGGCCACAGAGCTGGACATAGTACTCTAGGTGGTCTCACAAGAGCAGAATAGAGGGGAAGAATCACCTCCCTTGACCTGCTGGTCGTGCCTCTTTTGATGCAGCCCATGATGCAGTTGGCTTTCTAGAAAAGTAATCAACGCATTCCAGGAACCTTCTGAATTGCTTACGCCCTGCTGTGCTGCCTCTCCAACAGGTATGAGCTGGCTCAAGTACCCCATGAAGACTAGGCCTTGTGAACACAAGGTTGCTCGAATCTATAGAGGGCTTCATCCACTCAGTCTTCCTGGCTGGGTTACCTGTAGCAGATCCCCTCTGTCACCTGTCCCTGCCCTCCCTTTAATCCTGACCCATAAGCTCTTGATGGACTCCTCCTCCATCCCTAGGCTGAGCTCCATGCGCTCCAGATGGAGCTCCGTGCACTCCAACCAATCATTGACACAGAAGGTGACACCTCCTCCTTGCCTGCAGTGCCTGTTCTTCCCAAAGGGCCTGCATCCTTCCATTCCAACACTCCAGTCACAGGAGTTATGCCACTCCATATCTGTAACAGCTCTGCACACGTGAGCACACTTGCAACAAACAAGCAGAATTAGGAAAAACATTTTTTATAAACTCTGTGTTAATGGAAGCTGTTTAACCACAGACTTGACATGGGTATTTCCATACTGCCAGTGTCACTTCTCATCAGGCACCTGCCACCAGGAAACTTGCTGAGGCCTATCTGCAATGCTGGGACAGCTCAGAATCTTCAAAAAAATAAGGTTTCTTTGCTTCTTCCAAATAAGGAATCTCTCTCTGTGGCAAGGGGTCTTCTTTAGAAAGAACTCTTATGAATACAACTGCACTGAAAACAAAGAAAGATTTTTATCAAGAAGACCCTCACTGAGACCTTCAAGATCATCATGTCCAACACAGCCCTAACACCTCAACTACACCATGGCACTGAGTGCCACATCCATCTTTTTTTAAACATATCCAGGGATGGTGACTCCACCACCACCCCAGGCAAACTATTCCAATACTTTATCACCATTTCTGTAAAAAACTTTTTCCCAATATCCAACCTACATTTCCCTTGGCACAGCTTAGGACTGTGACCTCTTGTTCTGTTGGTTGCTGCCTGGAGAAAGAGACCAACCCCCACCAGACTACAACCACCTTTCAGGGAGTTGCAGAGAAGTTGTAAGGTCACCTCTGAGACTCCTTTTCTCCAGGCTAAACACCCCCAGCTCCCTCAGTGGTTCCTCACAGGGCTTGTGTCCCCAGCCCCTCACCAGCCTCGTTGCCTCCTCTGGATGTGCTCCAGCGTCTCAAGGTTCTTCCCAAACTGAGGGGCCAGAATTGGACACAGCACTCAAGGTGCAGCCTCACCAGTGCTGAGTACATGGGAAGAATGACCTCCCTGCTACTGCTGGCCTAAAGGTAAAGCCAAGGGCACAAATTTATGTCAGAAAAATCTAAAAACTTTTATCTATTGTGCTTTTGTTGCCTTTCTCTGAACTCACTTTATTGTAAGAGATGGTCTGGAGGCATCAGACATCCTGGGAGCAAGAAAACAATTCTTCATAGTCACTCTGACAAGACCAGCTCCCTTATCATAAATCACTCTTGCCCTGAACTAGTAAGTGACAGACTAGGATTAAACTTCCAAACTACCTGAAAGTTCAAGTCAATGGATTTAATTCTATAAACTGCCAAATTAAACTTTAACTAGCAAATCTGGCAGATCTACTGCTGCCTTTTTACAAACCCAGGCCCCAGGTGTTAGTGGAGACATAGAAATAAAAACAGTCTTTCCATCTTCAGTTACACATGTCCATCAGACACTATCCAGAGTCCAGGAAGTTAGTTTCATGACAGCTTGATCTGAAGATCCTCCCCATATTTTTGGATCAACTTCACATGGTTATGGTCCACTGACCATTGCTCTGGGAGGTGTTTGGGCTTCATGCTGTCCAAGAAATGCTGCCTCCAGCGTCTTTCCAGCTGCATGAGAGAGCGCAGGCCTCCTTGAGCACAACACTGCACCACCTTCAGTCCATGTGGCACGTAGCTCTCATTGCAGATCCTGCCAGGACACAAGCACAATTTATTTTCACACAAGCCCGCTATCAGACTCCAGATCTGTCTCCAGTGAACAGCAAGACACTGAAGATACTTTCAGCTGCAGAGTTTAATTACAGACAAAGGGTAAGCTAACCAAGAGGGAGAGTTTTAAGCTTTGCTTCAGTGCCAGACTGTTTTCTGGAACATACTTATGCTGTAGAGCTGGTTTCTCTGAACGGAGAAAGTGTTCTTCTTTACAGCAACACTGAACAAAGCTCTTAAGGTCCATTACAAGCTCCTCAAGAAACTGCAAATTTCTCAAGGTAAGAATTATATGACCCTTCAGACTGCTGAGCCTGTCACTGAATTCCCTGCCTGGATGGGTTCTGTGTTACAACATCTGCACTTTGCAAACAACAGCGAGCATAACAAGGAGAAGATACTCATTTCAAGCAGAGATGAGACACTTATTAAGAAAAGATATTTGGGGAGACTTTGAGAAAGTGAAGAAGACGACTTCCAATATGACTATCCTTCAGACTCTTTTCCTGACCTGTCCTTCAGAAGTATAAAAATGTTGGAGGGGAAGATGGACAGCAAGAACAGAAGACTGGTGAGGAGGAAGAGAAAGAGGAAAAGAAACAAAAGCTGCAGTTCAGAGAGCAGTGGTGGGTTGAGGGGAGATGGGTATAAACAAAAACAAAACCAGTAAGAAATACAATATAAACAACCAAAAACCTTACATCCAACCTACGTGGGCTTGCTATACCTGGTTTCCAGACCAGCTGCTGCCTGGAGCATCTCTGGAGTGACTGTGTCTGTGTTATAGAAGTCCTTGATGCCTTGCAGCAGCTCTGCCCTGCGGGGGTCGGGCAGGCTGTCTGCATTCAGCAGGGCGCGCGCCCCCGAGCGCACTTGCCTGCGCAGAGGGTCCTCCAGGAGACGCACACCTTCCTCGGAGCCGATCGGAGCCCCAAACTCCTGGGCCAGCTGCTGCTTGAGGTGGTTGTCATAGTAATTGGAGATGGCATGGCAGGATGTGCAGAGTAGGAGCACATCATGTGAGTTGTGGTCCTTCATCTGGATGGGGAAGTGTCTTCTGTATTCATGAGGAACAACATTCTTCCTAGAGAAGACAAAACACACAGCTCACTGCATTTGTCTGGAGCTGCTGCTCCCCACTTCCTCCTCTTCCTGCCCCAGAAAGGGTCAGCTAAAACTAAAAGTCCAGGTGAGCAAAGATTACCAGGACAACACATAGTACAGAAAGTGATTATTTTTATTCTTTTCACTTGTAGTTCTCTCGCCAGATTTTCTGCATTTCTCTATTTTCCTTTACAAAAATTCACCACTTTCAATTAAAGATTCATACTGTAAAGAAAAAAAAAAATCAAGTAATGCGCTATGAGAAGTATACTTCTCAACTAATCAAAAAGAAAAAGAGAAAAATCTTGTTCTTTATGACCTCATGAGCTTTAGGCTCAACTAAACCTTTCAAAAATAAAGGATTAAGTAGTGGAAGGAACAGTACAGCTCTTTTTGGAAGGGTATGCCACCCACCCAGTGTGTGTCAGCACACTGCTGCCCCTGCCACTCAAACTGCAGCACATACATGTTCCATATGCTTTGGTCTCTCCTAGGATCAATATCTCCTGCCTCTGTAAGAGGAAAGGTTGGTCTCTTCAGTGCCTCACGCAGCCAAACAACTGCAGAGCACTCAAACAGTGTCCTATCCAGGACATGAACAAGCACAATGTTTCAGGTCACTAACCAAGCTTCTGGATGCTAAGCTTGATGCAGACCTCAGCCCTGTTTTAGAAGACGCATTTTTCTCCTACCCACTAAACAACTCACCGGATATAGGATTCTCGCTTGCCACATACAACACAGAGGTTTTCTTTGACTGTCAGATAATAATCAACCTGAGACTCGGGACGTCCTGAAGGCTCAAAACGCAGCTTCACAACAAAAGGGTCTGTGCTAACTAGCTCTAAAAGGATAAAGGCAAAGAGAAAATATTACAGACAAATTGTATTGGAGAGCGAAAATAACAATGCTACAATGTAAGAATCATCCTAGTGAATTCCCAACAGTACTTCCAATAAGAAAGGATACCAAAAAAATCATGCTCCGTTAGGAACAGGAGAGAGAGAGAGGAGCATTTCAAATACCAACAGGAAAACTGGTATGCCTACCTCCAATCCCCTTGTCCAAATACCACTGAGCCTTCTTGCGATCACAAGTGCACAGGGGCTGTCCATCTGGTGCATGCAGGAAGCAGTTGTCATACAGTGGAGATTTTCTATGAAACAAGGCCAGTATTACAGCAGCTACAATAGCATGCAAAAAAGCCCAGAGCTTTCCATAGCCCTGTGTGCCACACTGCAGTTCAGGCAGCTTCCTCCGAATCACAGGAGTACCCCTAGACACAAACTTGAGGCTGCTGAGTCTCCACAGTCTGCTGCTTAGGGTAACAACATATCTGAAAATTTATCCAGGGTTCACCAACTGACTCTAAGGAATCTTTGCTCTCCTGCTGTCAACAGAATTGTAACTCTTGAATCCCAATTTTGAAGAGATGCCATCACTGAAGACAGCATTTAAAAAAAAAATGAAATAGAAAACAAAAGAGAATTGAAGTCACAAAGGATGATGAGCTAAGAGTAAGCTCAAAGAGAGCATGAACTTACAGCAAGGTAGTTTCAAGAATTAGCTGCCTAAGCCTGGATTTTAATGATTTTTATGAAAGCTTTTCTAAAATTTAGTGTGAATAGCAATTACTTTATTCACCCAAGAGAAATGGTCCAAAACCACTCCTCCACTGGGAACTTGAACACATGAGTTCAGCACTGGGAACTTGAACAGATGAGTTCAGGAGAACAACAAAGCTGAGCTGACACCCTCAAACACAGGTCCCAACGTTTGGCAGTGACAAGAAGTCCTGTGTGAGCAGTCTCTGGCAGTTTTTGGCAGTGTGTGGAAGGGCTCTGTTTTGCAGAAAACATTTCTTTACTCTGCCAACCTCCTTCAAACAAAATTGAAGCATGGAGCAGGCTGGGCTCAGAGAGGACGTGGGAGGAGCTGGCCAGACATGGCACAATACACTGCAGGAAAGTTTCCTTTCCTCTCTGCAGTGAGATTGTACAAATTAGTTCTCAGCAGAGCTCTACCAGCTAAAAAGGTTGATTCATAGGCTATCTCCTTCCACTGAGCATCCACAGTTCAACTCAGCTACCATGATAATTTCAGTACTTCCCAACTCTAAATGAATAAACATTAAAACTAAACAGACTTAAACAGAAAGGAAAAGTGAAAAAGAACTTTTGAAACCACATCCAGTGTTACCACAGACCAGAGCCACACTGCAGGAAATACTGTAAAAAGCAGTGAGTCTACAGACCTGTCATGAAGTCAAGCACAGTTAAAAACAAAAAATAAATAAACAATTATGGGGAGATCTTATTTTATCTTGGAATGTAATTTTGTTTAAATTTTAACACCCATGAGATGCAGTCCTCCTGTTTTGTATTATACAGCCTCCAAAAAAAATTAAAGAGAAATATGAGGGACGTGCTCTGTAAAATATAATACTGTTAATCACTGCTAATGAACTCAATACTATTGACTACACTAAAATTTCTCCATTGCCAATCCAATAAACCTAAAAAGAAGAAAACAAATATAAACATTTATTTCTTTCCCAATTATATTTACATGTAATTTTAGTTATGTCCAATGACAAATTTTATTAGATTTTATCCTAACAAAAGCGAACATACAGATATCCCACACCTTCCATTGCACTGAGCCTAAAGCAACTTTTCAAACTTGTATTCCATTTAAAAACAACTGAACTCAGAAACAACTCAACTGAACAACAGAAAAGTGTAGAAATTAAGATACTGACAAACAAAAGCTAGCAAAAGCTCATAAGAATTTAGGATTCACTCCAAAAAATCGCCTGCAAGGATGGTAATCCTGAATCCAGCAATAGCTGCCTCTGCAAGGCTAAAGCAGCACTATTCTTTCCTCTCACCCCCTGGCCAACAAAGAAGGGCACTGCTTTGCTGCTACCACAGGCTGTTCCTTCCTGTGCCCTCTGGCACCTCACATAACATGTCTTACCCCTGCTAATCTCAGCTTTCAGCCTTGCCATCTCTGTGGCCATGGTGACATGGGACAGCAAAGGAAAAACAACAGTCCATGAGGCAGATCCTGATGAAAGGACAAGCTCTGTGCAGTTGCCCCTTTTCCTTGGAGAAGACAGGGCACAGCTGTTTGAGCAGCAGAATCACAGAATCATAGAACATGCCAAGTTGGAAGGGACCCTTCCAGGACCATTGAGTCCAACTCTTAGCCCTGCTCAGGACACCCTGGACACCCAAAAATTACACCTGGAAAGCCAACTGCCTCCTGCTAGGACTCTGCTCTCTGGCTAATGCTTCCACAGGGGAAGGAAGGGTAAAACTTAAAAGACAACACCTCAACTTGCTCATGATCTAAGCAGAGATCTAAGTGCTGCCCCTGCTTTCAATACTGCCTAGAGGAAAATGAGAAAACAGAAATAGGATCTGACCCCCATGACTGTTAGGTCCTGTGTTCCCTTTCTGAGCTCATATGAGCTACTTTGTTTAATGACTAGAGCATGAGGCAACACTCAGGGCTTTCCACATGAAATGCAAAGAGTAAGATGTGCTCATATACTCACCTTGCAGAATATCCCACACCCAGAGGCTTTCGCTTCTGCCTCCGTGGATCTCTCATCTGCTGATTGCCAGAGGGCTGGCCATTCACCCAAGATTTCCGATTCTTTGTTTTCTGAGGGGAACGCCCCTCTCCACTCTTCTCCTCTCCTATGCTGCCACTCTTTCTTCCTCTAAATGGGATATCCACCAAGCCCTGGCATTTACCCCGTGCTTTCTCCCAAGCAGTGACAGAGTTTTCACCTTCAGATGTAGCAGGGAGGCTGGTAAATCCCAGCAAATGGAAGAACAGAGCCACTGAGACCTGGGCATCCCTAGCAGCATAGAGAACCTGCAGAAAAGCACAGAAATTAAGATACTGACAAACAGCAAATACTCCCAACATCATCAGTCTTTAGCACATGGTACAGTAAAACCAGAAGCTGGATTCATTTCCTTTTGAAGTTCACATGAAGTTTTGCCAGTTGAGTGGCACTTTGATAACAACACCACATTCCACTACCTTGGTGTAGTGCCCCCAGGAACTGCAAGGGACTGAAAATATATTTAGGTTAGACATCCTCATATCCCACCAATCCCTCCCTCATAAAAAGTTCCCTTTTGGCCACTGGCTAAGAGTTTTCAGCATGGGGTTTTTTTGTCCTGTCACTCCCTCTGCTGGTCATTGCTTCTGCAGGCATGTGCAGTGTGACTAAAGAAACTCAGCGCTCTAAAGAAGGTGAACAAGATTTCTAGTGTCTCTCTAATATTGCACTGACTACTACAGACTGAAGAAAATAATAAAAAGGCGATGTTTTGGAAACACTTTTTCAAGGGATCTTGCCTCATAGATCTTTCAGGACTAAAACAAAACAAGGGTAAAGAATCCAAGGAGAATAGCAGAAAATTATCTTCAAGGAAAAGGAGGGAGATTAAATTAACTTTAACTTTTAACTGAAATTAACTTTAGGCCCTGTCACACATAAGATTTTGAGGTATAATCTGAAAAGGCTCAGATCTCCCTATAGTAAAGCCTCTTTGCAATGAAGAAGGTTCACTTTTCCTCCCAAAACAGTAAGTTGAAGTGGAGAACACACCTGATCTTGTGTCAGTTCTTCTGCTTCCCAGTTGCTGCAACGCACATGAGGAGATTTGTCAAGCGGGAAGTTCAGGACTTTTTCAGCTAAAGACTTAAGGCTAAGGCAGTTGTGAAGTAGATCCTTCCTTCAATTCAACAAAGTGAAACAAATATATTAAAAATGAAACTACACACTCATGCAAATTCAGATGGCCTCATACAGCCTGAACCTGCGAGAACACAATGCAAGACTCTAACAGCACACAGCTGTTTGCCTGTCAGCTTTACAGGCCCTCTCCTCCCCTATACTAAAATGTCCCTTCTAGATTTAGTAATTATCTCGTGTCTGCAATATGCAAAGCAGGCGAGGCTGGGAGTTAGTAACATTTAAGGCTGAAGTGTTTGGCTCTGAACTACTCCCTTCTGAACTAAAGAGGTCCATCATACAGTGATGGACTACTTGTCCGAGGGATTCAGGAGAAGCCCAAGAACCAGGAATGACTCAGAAGAATCCTGGCCACTAGAGACAAGAAGTCCATCCTCAGTGCTAAAAAGGCACTAATAGGTCAGCAAATGCACAGCCCAGATCCCTAACACCACACCCAGGCACACATATAATTGTACATGAGAATATTTGCAAGTAAAACATCTTGTTTCAGGAAGAGTGAAAGATAAGAAAATGGCATCACAAGTGTAACTATTCCATAGAAGAATTGTTATTAAAAGAGAAAACTGGAACTGGTTTATTTAGTAATTTTTCAAGAAATCTTGAAATTCAACAGTTCCACTTGCATGTCCTGTGCACACTTAACTCACACTTCTTGGCAGTGTATTCAAACACCTGCTGACACAGTGTTCATTCTTACTGCATTACATCACTGTGCCTGGACTTCTTAAAAGCTGAAGCATGGTACACAGAGAAGTCCACAAAGGTATCAGTCTGTGAGAGAAGACTAACGGACACAATTAGCAAACGAAATCCTCATTAAGATTTCATTTCCATTAAGATCACAGAATAGAAGCATGACATGCTCCCGGGCTGCAGCTATCAATGCCCATTTTCTAAAGCCACCCTAAGAATTCCAGACATACCAGCGTGATAGCATTCAGCTTATGCAAATCACCTAAGATATATTTCCAACTCAAATGATGCCTCAAAAGGACCTACCGCTGTCTCATGGCTAAATACCGAAGATCCATGCTCCCTTTGACTGGAAGACCATAATCATGAAGCAATTTGCAAGCATCTTCCCAGCATCCTACACCAACTTTGAACACAGCACTATCTGCCATGATGTCCACCAGGGTCTTTGGAAGAGTCTGGCCACTGGCAACAAGCCTGGGCAACCGAACAAGAATGCAGAGGCCACTGGAAGAAGCCATCTGTAACAGGGACACAGGATTTGCTTTTCCCTCCATAGATACCTGTAATGAAGTAAAAAATGAGAGTCCAGGTTACTGTATTATTAGTAATACCGGACCTGAAGCAAATTGCAAAAAAGGCCACTGAAAGCAAGGAATACTTATCAGTTTACACGGTCAAGTATTGTTACAAGTCTCTAAAAATTCACGGCAAATTACGTGGTCTTTTTCACAGTATTACTGTGCCCAAGCGACTTCTTGCCCCATTCCCACATGACAATCTTTCCCCTTTTCACCCTTCCCCTTCATAGCTGAGCTGGTGGAAGAAATCAGAACATTTTTGAATCCACATCAACACAAAGCCAGCCACTATATAAATGTGTATGGCAAATATATTGTTTAGCTGTGGCTTATACTGTGGGGTGAATAAATTTCCAGTCAAAACAATGGCAAAGCCAGGCTTTATAAATTACTTTAAGACTGTTTGAGATATCACACATGCAAATGTACAAGCAGAAGAGGAACACTTTGTTTTCTCATTTTCCCAGTGAATTTTATCTATGTATTAGTATTATCCTCCTTTTTGGACTTAACATTCTTAAGATATTGTTTCTTAAATGTAGCTGGACTTAAAATAGTGTAAGCCCAAGCTACTTCTAGTAAATCACCTTTAAAGAGATATTACACGAAACACATAGTGTTATATTTAGCCATACAACTGTTACTATATTTAGTAAAGTCGATTTATCACAGAAACTCAGTAAGCAAATACATCTAGTGAATTAAAAACCTAGCATATTTAAACGTAAGAGGAATCAAAATTAGCATCTGCTTCACTGCCATCATGACAATCACAGTTTCAATAGTCAACCCCTGGTATCTGTTTAAGCAACAAATTGCTCCACCCTCAATGATTTCCCCATGCAATTTGCAATCTAAAGGAAGGAGAGGCGCTTCTTGATCACTCACCCACTCACAATCAATTCCAAGAACCGGCCACTTCTCCAGCTCCTTCTTCAGCAATGGTTCAACATGATCCCACTCCTCCTGCTCTGAAACTATCACTATGTTTGCACCAAGGGTCCTCTCTATCCAGAAGAAGGTGGGAGATCCGAAGAAGGAAAGCACCTTCTTATCCTCTGCCTTAACGAGTTTCTCATCTCCTGACTTTACTGCTGCTTCCTCTTGCTGACTACGACAGCGTGTTTTTCCTTTCCGATGCTGGGTCGCTTTCCACAAAACCAGGCCCCCCAATGCAACACCCAGCAGGGTCGCCAAAGTAATCGTCACAGCTGTTTGCTTGGCCATTTTTTGTTGCCCTTTCTCCCCCTTCACCTCATCCTCTCAAAACGGCACTGTGGGATTTCATCATGGCCTGTGGAGAAAAATAAGAGGAAGAAATTAAAGACAACTTAATAAAATGTGTTTAGAGATATTAAATACATGCTATGCTATCATAACAAGGTTCTAGCCATAACTTGTAATCCTGACAGAAAAAAGGTCCGGGTCCCACTTTGATAGACTGGGGGCCTGGGTACAGACAGCTGCAGTGATGGATTGGGCAGGAAGAGGAGACTGAATGCTGCTGTTGATCACACCACTGAAAACCTTAAAGGAAAGCCATCCAGTTAAACTGGTGCAACTCGGTGCTTCCAAAAACCCTGCGATTCCAAAAAGAAACTAGTCACAGTTATTATCAACACCTTTTAGTTCGGTTTGTAACTAGATCAACCTAAACAAGGCTAAAATGAAATTGCTGCAGAATAAGCATGTCTGTTCACGCATTAGTAAACAACAGGCATTTATTTGTCCATTACATTCACATCCATACTAGGGTCAAATGGCCCTTCAGGCACTGGAAAGCCCTAGAACAGCAGCATCTTATTTTTAACACAGCTGTCCCTCTCTCATACAGAAGCTGAGTACCTCTTCAATAAACTGAAATCAATCCTGCTCCTCCATCCCAACCCACCGCGTTGTTTCTAAAGGGCTGTCCTTGCGCACACTTCCCCACCAGGAAAAGTTCGGGTGTGGATGTTACTCCAGCATGGATGCTGCACAGCCGCTCCCAACACCCCGAGCACAGCCGGGGCACCTGCCTGAGCACCCCCGAAGCAACAGGTCCTTCGCTGCCACCCCGTAAACTGAGCGCGAACGGGCCCGCCGGCAGCGACGGCCTCTCCCTAGGTCCAACAGCCACCACCTCTCTGGGAACCGGGGTGCCTGTGATCCCTGTGGGATCCCCCGCCGGGGCAGCATAAGCCCCGGTAAGGCACGCCGGCCCGGCTCAGCCCCGGCGGCAGCGGCGCGCCAAGGCCCGGGGGCGGGCCCGGGATGGATCCCAGCCGAGCGCTCCTCCGGGCCGCTGCCAGGCCCGCCGGGATGGGGGCAGGCGGGGGCGTCCGCGGCTCCGCTGGGCAGCAGGGGGAACGCGCTGCCCGCTTTCGGTTCGGTCGCGATTGTCTACCCTGGGAAGAGGCCCGAACGCCGGGAGCGAGCACGCGGGAGGCTGCGGGAGCACCGGCCCGCGCACCGGCCCGCCTGCAGCCCAGCCGCGGCCTCGTCGGGATGCGCGCAGCAGCCTCTCCCCCGCGCCCGGCCCCGCCGCCCGCCCGCGGCCCCGCCGGGCGCCCACCGATCCGCCCGCTGCCTGCGTCCCGCGGAACGGCTGCGTCCGGCTGCAGGAACGCCCCGCGGGGCAGTCGCCACACACACCGGGAGTCTTAGAGTGGCGGACGCTTCCTCTGTGCCGGCGGTGCGAGTGGGCGATGGGCGCCGCCATGTTGTACGGCAGCTAGTGGCGGGGCGGCTGTGTCGCTGGGCGAGCTCCAACGTGCCTTCAGCCGGGGCAAAATGCTGCCAAGAATACTGATGAGCTAGCTCTTTTTAAAGGAGATTTTTGGAGTGAAAAGTGCGGTTTGTTGTCTGCGACTAGGGAGGGCTTGAGGAGCGAGCCGCAGCGGGCGTGAAGTCACCCACACGCGGAGTACCGGGAGCCCCTAGGGCAGGAGAGACCAGACAGAATGGGAAGTAAAGAACAAAGGCAGCCGGGAAAATAAACAGCAAATCGCAGCCACCTACAAAGTGGCAAACTGGAAGAAAACAAAGAGGGAACTCATCAAGTGGAGAGTGTTAAGAAATTAACAGAGGAACATGTCTATCATAACAAGAGATTGCTCCCCCTGTGTGTGGGGAGAAATACGAACGTTAGAAGAGTGTGACACCACAAAACCTGGACAGTGAGTATGCAGGCAGCTGCTGTATCCAGAGCATCATCAAGGTGTGAGGTCATCAGTGTTAAAAATCAAACGCATTTCCAGCCCAAACTCTATTGCAAATGAGAGGATCTGAGCACTGAATTTCTTCAAATTCCTTTGTAATTCCCAGTATCTCCAAGATTTTGTGCTGTTAGCTTTCCACCTAGCTGCATCTATTTGAAGTAGAGACTCAACCCCCAGAAAATACTGTGTTAAATCAATTTAACAATTTGACAGTATCAAATTTTGTTTTGTTTTCTCTTTGCCACTTGTAGTCATCAGGGTAGGAGGATCTCCCTAGCAGAGATGTGGTATTTAGCAGACACATTGTCCAAAGAGTCTAACAAAGAGGCTAATGGATGGCACTGGCAAAAATCTTCTATAGAAGCAGTATTTTTTTCGGTCTGTAACTCATCTTTATTGTCCCCCTTCTTTTTTTCTTAACTCATGAATGAGGTACAGACATCTTGATAGCTCACAAAGAAAATAGGTGATTTCTAGAACAGTTTTTTTGAGCAAATAAGGCCCTCTCCTTATCAGAAATAAGATGACAAGGTTATTAATGGTTAAGCAGCTACTTGTTCTAATGACCTGATCTATGCCAGCATGGTGAGGCCATATCAGGGGTCACCGGTGCTGGGGTAGGATCAGAGTTGTTTTCCATTGACTTGCATATGTATTTTGAATGTACAAATGCTTTATACCTTATAGTTACAGCTTCTGTATCATAAGTGTTTCTGCAAGGCCTCTCAGTCTTGCTGTACAGTGATGAGACTTTTATCCATTTTTATATTAATTCACTGAGTTACGAAGCATTGCAATCTCACTGCAGTAACTCACACCTTGTCTCTGCTTCCTTCTCCTCTAGAGGGAAGGTCTGCATCTCCATTTCAGTCACAGCCTGGCCCCAGCTTCTCCATCCATCCCCTGTGCTCCAAGGCACCAGACACAGCTGACCAGCTGAATTGCAGGTCTCCAAGCAGGAGCTAGCACTGCTCTGAAGTTTCTCACATGACTTGTGCTCAGAGGAAAGGTGCATCAAGTGCATGCTCAGGGGAGAAACCTGGAGGGTTTCTGAGTTCCCACAGTCAGATGGACATGTTCTGCCTGTTTCTCTCCCTCTCTCTTCCCTTCACACATATGCCTCAAGGTATAGTGCTTTGTTTTGTATGGTCATTGGAATCTAGCATAAATCTGGGTTGCTACTTGGATGGATAGTCCCACATTTCCTGTTGTAGCTGTGACTGACTGCTCATTCCCTGCTTCCTTGCTCCAGCACCCACATATCTGTAATGACAGGGTCAGAAAATCATGGAACCGATCATGTAAACTAATTCAAGGACAAAAGGTAACACCTGGGGACACAACAGACATTTCAAGGCCCAAGAGATTAGAAAAAGAGCCAAGAAGATGATACAGCTGGGCTCCAGGATCCAGCTGCCCTACTGTAAGGTAGGCAAGGCATCCTTAAGAGAACTCTGTCAGAGCTCAAGATAACCACAAAATACTGAACAAATCTGCAAATGAATTGTTTCTTTTAGTTTCTAAAGTAATAGAAGTGTAAAGTTACCATAGAGAAAAATGCAATAAAATACCCCAATATTTACTTCACAGTGAAAATCTCACAGAGAAGATGCTAGCTTTTTACCAAGTAAGAGGATTTTATCCCTGCTTGCATTTAAAACCTTTATTTTTCATGGCATCACTGAAATTACAGAGTCCTGTAAGCCACAAGTCTCTTTAACAGCTTGTCTTATACCTACCTAGCCATTTATTCAACTATAAGGATTAAATTAAAAATAAATGAAATCAACTTATGCATGAATGCATTCTGGCAAAAAACAACAACAACAACAACAAACAAACAAAAAAAAACCAAACCAACAAACAAACACTCAAAAAACCAAAACAAAATGAAAAAGCCAAACCAAAACCAAACAAACCACAAGTTCCCAAAACCTGATAGGGACATTGCTGAAGATGAGAAGATAACCAAGTGAGTAAACACCAAGTGCTGGCTTAGCCTTACTTATAAGAAACCTGTTACAGCAGGTAACTGGAAGCATGGTAAATAGCAACATTTACTTTCTGTGTCTGTAGCCTGACATGAGATCTCTGCAGAGGTCTCTGTCAAAAGACTAATTTTTAGCCTGATTTCCCAAGGAAAGAAGGCTTATGAAATTACTCTATGTTGGTGTTGCTGCCTCTGGGTCCCATTACTTCCCCTGCTTTCCTTGCCAAAAAAGCATGTTTAAACCATTGCTAAATTCCATCTAAATTTGTACAAAGGTAACAAGTGAAATGCAAAGCCAAATGGACGAAACAGGTCCTGATAAAGCTGTCACTGATAAAATGCAGACACTGCTTAGTATACATATGAGAATCCACACAGCAATACCACATCAGGACAAATCCATAGGAAACCAGGCTTCACTTGTTCTGCTGATCACAGAAAAAAGAATTATTTTTATAATGACATTAGCTCATCCTTTAGGAGGGAGAAGACTAGGGTAAATGAGTCAGTGTTCAAAGGAAAATCAATGATTGTGGAATATCAAAGGAGAGAGGCTCCAGTGAAGACTTAAATTGCTGGTAGCAGACAATGAGCAGAGAGCTGCATGTAGTCCCCACTAGCTCATTAATAACACTCTCCTTGGGGCCCATCCCAAGCTACAGAAAAAAGCAAAACTCACATTTCAACTCCTAATGTGATTTATCTTCCTTCTGTCGGTGCTGGTAACACCATGACTACATATGCAAACAAGCCATTTTGAGCAGGGTTTGTTTCAACAGGGTTGATATCAGGAAGGCAGTAGAGTTTCTTTCCTCAAGAAGTCAGAATGAGAGCAGTTTCAATCTACTGAAGCCTCATCCTAAAGATGGGGTCTCACACTGCAACAAGGTGGATGGAAGGTTTAGCTTCTGTTGAAAAGGCAACTCTGCTTCCTCCTTCTCCCTGTCTGCATTCTTCTTCAGTCTCAATTCTGCAAATACTGGTGCCTGCTTGATTCAAGGAATTAAGTGAGCAGAAAGCTAGCACAGCAAAAAACTGGGTTTTCTTCTGGTTTAACTCCTGGTACTAACTCATCATACAGCCAGATCTCAGTGAAACTACATCTTAAGCCAAAAGATGAGTCAGTGGTAGCTCAGTGAAGGGATCTGACAGAGTTTGCAGGTTTTGCAAAGAATCTGAAAAAAACTCAGAGGTGTAAAATGCCAGATAATCCCATGAGGATGAGTTGTATTAACATCAATCATCATCAATGTAACCAACAAACAAACACTCAAAAAACCAAAACAAAATGAAAAAGCCAAACCAAAACCAAACAAACCACAAGTTCCCAAAACCTGATAGGGACATTGCTGAAGATGAGAAGATAACCAAGTGAGTAAACACCAAGTGCTGGCTTAGCCTTACTTATAAGAAACCTGTTACAGCAGGTAACTGGAAGCATGGTAAATAGCAACATTTACTTTCTGTGTCTGTAGCCTGACATGAGATCTCTGCAGAGGTCTCTGTCAAAAGACTAATTTTTAGCCTGATTTCCCAAGGAAAGAAGGCTTATGAAATTACTCTATGTTGGTGTTGCTGCCTCTGGGTCCCATTACTTCCCCTGCTTTCCTTGCCAAAAAAGCATGTTTAAACCATTGCTAAATTCCATCTAAATTTGTACAAAGGTAACAAGTGAAATGCAAAGCCAAATGGACGAAACAGGTCCTGATAAAATGGTAAGCATGTGCAGACACTGCTTAGTATACATATGAGAATCCACACAGCAATACCACATCAGGACAAATCCATAGGAAACCAGGCTTCACTTGTTCTGCTGATCACAGAAAAAAGAATTATTTTTATAATGACATTAGCTCATCCTTTAGGAGGGAGAAGACTAGGGTAAATGAGTCAGTGTTCAAAGGAAAATCAATGATTGTGGAATATCAAAGGAGAGAGGCTCCAGTGAAGACTTAAATTGCTGGTAGCAGACAATGAGCAGAGAGCTGCATGTAGTCCCCACTAGCTCATTAATAACACTCTCCTTGGGGCCCATCCCAAGCTACAGAAAAAAGCAAAACTCACATTTCAACTCCTAATGTGATTTATCTTCCTTCTGTCGGTGCTGGTAACACCATGACTACATATGCAAACAAGCCATTTTGAGCAGGGTTTGTTTCAAGAGGGTTGATATCAGGAAGGCAGTAGAGTTTCTTTCCTCAAGAAGTCAGAATGAGAGCATTTTCAATCTACTGAAGCCTCATCCTAAAGATGGGGTCTCACACTGCAACAAGGTGGATGGAAGGTTTAGCTTCTGTTGAAAAGGCAACTCTGCTTCCTCCTTCTCCCTGTCTGCATTCTTCTTCAGTCTCAATTCTGCAAATACTGGTGCCTGCTTGATTCAAGGAATTAAGTGAGCAGAAAGCTAGCACAGCAAAAAACTGGGTTTTCTTCTGGTTTAACTCCTGGTACTAACTCATCATACAGCCAGATCTCAGTGAAACTACATCTTAAGCCAAAAGATGAGTCAGTGGTAGCTCAGTGAAGGGATCTGACAGAGTTTGCAGGTTTTGCAAAGAATCTGAAAAAAACTCAGAGGTGTAAAATGCCAGATAATCCCATGAGGATGAGTTGTATTAACATCAATCATCATCAATGTATTTCTTCCTTAATTGCCAACTCTTTTCATTGCTTATATAGAAATAGAGATGAATTTCACAATTCCATTTCTTGGAGAGCTGCTTAGCTTACCCCGGTAGTTCAGTCCAGAAGGCACTCTGAGTCAGCCTCACTGTTTATGGCTGCTAAGAATATGACATCCCCCATCTCCAAAACTCATCTCCCAGCTGGGCACTCCAGACTAGCTTGTGCTGATTTTGGCATTCCTTGGGACATTTCCATGAGCCAAATAAACACATGGCAGACAAGCAGGTCCAGTAAGTAGCAGCATCAGCACAAAGAAAGGGACAGAACACAGAGCCACCTTTCAGTGGTCACAAATCATTAGATTGGCTTATCTGCATGTTAAACCTGCATAGCAGAACAGCAAGCCCCAAGGGGAGATATTTGAGAAAAAAAATCCTTGGTTTTCCTACCTTTCTGGTCCATTAAAGTAAGCAAAAGAAGAAAAGCCCAGCAGCCACCAAATTTTCACTAAAGCGAATAAATTACACAAGCAAAATTATTTTTTAAAAAATGATATGGCCAAAATATTATGTAGTCTTCTTGGTTTCCCCTTTCTATTGCCCCTCAAAAATAAAAAATATTGGTATAAATAAACAAATTAATAAAAGCCTTGACTCAGCTCCACTTTCCTAATTACACATTCACTCTCTCTGACTCACTCCATAGACATCCAACTACCAGTGTCCAAACTTCTCAGTTTCCACTCTGGATTAACCAAAGCCAATCAAAGGTTCAACAGTACCCCAAAAAGAGTGTTTAAATGTCATCCTTTCTCGCCTGACACAATCAATCATGCTTCACTTAAATACTTTTTACCTATTTAAGACTTCCTAGTGTTTGACAGACTCTCAGAGAACTGTATCCTTGGTCTTCTGTTACCCTCCTACATTATCTCTGAATTAGCACTCGGGAAGGAGCAGATCCATAAATCATCTGCAGAGAGATATTAATTTATTTGTATTTCAGATGAGATACCTCCCCCTGTCCAAACTCAAAACAGTCTTCTCTCTTCTGTGAATGACTAGCAGGAAATTAGAGCTCAGCAGAGCTAGAACTCTTCCCTGAAAGCCCTCTTATTATCTTCTTTGTGAGTATCCGTGGATAGCATCACCAGTTTATCTGCCACTCAAGCTTGTTTGTCAACCGTCAGGTCTGACTGAAATGTCTTTGTAGATCCTAGCACCTAGGGTATATACTTCCATGTGGCAGCTCCAAAACAGCCCTCCAAAACATCCTTGCAGCTAAGACCCTTGTTCTCTTGCTGATATATAAAGACTGCCCTAATACCTCTCCCTCCAGTATTAATCAACACAGCTCCTAACACAACAGCCATTGACCAATGGAAATGCCAAAGTCTGACAACAGAGCAAAGCTGACTGTAGGCCTCATATTAATGATCAAATTAATGACCACAGCCATCAAATGGAAACAACAAATGCAATTTAACTGATTCTCCCAATTCAATTTTTTTCACAAAAATGTTGAAGGGATAACTTTGTACCAGTAGACAGTAAACCCCAATCAGTTATTGTCAGTCCTTCCAGAGGCAGAACAAAAAATCTGTAGCATGGACAGAAGCTAATATGAGAGTAATGTGACACCATGGCCATATCTCATCCAGATCAATTTAGTACTGCTGAGAGACTGAGCTCTGCACAACCTTGGAATTAAGAACTCTGAAACTGCAACCCAAGATTGTTTACATAGATCATTACTCTAACCACATCGCTTCTCTATTTTAAGGATTCTTCTAGTTCCCTCTTCTGTATTGCATCAAACATTATTTACTTACCTTCATTTCCAAGGGCATCTACAGCAAGTCACTCCCCTGTTCATTATCTCCATTTCCTTTCCACTTAACTCCTCCACTCTGTTGCTTACTTGTTGAAATTCCAGGTAAAACATTTGTTGTGCTTGATTTCATGCTGCTTTTGAGACATGGAGGAGACTGTGAACACGCTACAGAATTAGGCAGCTCAAGCAGTGTGTGCAGACAGACTCTGGCTGCCTGTGCCCTTTGAGTCTGGCCAGGCTCGATCCAATTTGGTCTGTGACAACCAGTCTCGGTACAGCACCCCCATGCTAACATGTCCCCCAGAACAGCAACCTGATGAAGTTTGATCTGTTTGACTAACTACTGCCAGTACATCGATTCCATTGCAAGCTGCAGAATGTTCCCATTAAAGGAGACAAAGATGCTTCACTGATGCTACTTCAGTATGACTCAGGACAAGAGTGCATGTGCTTTGGAGAGATAACAGCACTCTGGCTTTATTAACATAGACACTGGTCATTTTCCAGGAAGATATTACCTGTACAGGCTATGGTAACTTCCTTAGGTGTTATACTCAAAATTAGTTGAAAGAAAGGAATCAAGAGAGTGAAAAGAATGCTTACCAGTACTGTTTTTTAACCTATATGGTCATGTCATTGAACAGAACAGATTGACAGTCTGCTATTATTTTTCTTTTAAATTCTGACTGCTTAGAAATGTGATTTTAAAAACACCACAAAAACAAACAAGCAGAAAAACCCCAACAAAACAAAAACAAACTCAGTTAAATATTTCTGAAAAATCCTGGAACTGGGGGCTTAGGAAATAGTTTTATTTCTATGCAAAACCATTTAAGTACACAGCTTTCCTAGAGACTGGATCCAGAATGTGAAGAAAAAGCAGTGGAGATTTATTATATTGCATAATTATTTCAGTACAGAAACAAAAGGTACTCAAAGGTATTCAACCTGAACAATATTTTAGGAAAGGGGAAAAAGTGAAATCTTGCTGAGTGAGCAACAGTTTCTGATATAATTGTAATAGTGCAGAATGTCATGGCATGCAAACAACAAAGATATAAAATATGATTTTATAGCAATGTCTGAAGCTTACCTGTGTCTGAATCTAAGACAATAAACACAAACCATGATGGACAGAGTCGTTGCCTCTCTATATTGGGGGTAACTAGATATGTTACATTGCAGTAGTTGGCCATCAACAACTCTAACTAGAAAACATCCTTATGTACAGTTCAGATGAGAAGAGATTAATTGCTTTGTTTTCACTTCAGTTGTGAAGCATTGTTAATTGCAAATGTTAATGATGTTAATGTAACTTTTTACATTCTTTTTTTATTCCCAATTAGAAGAGAAAGTTTTTATTTACTTTTGTTATATGTTAAAATTCAGGCTATATTGTTGTCAAATAAAAAGCTTGGTCTATGCAGGATTTGGTGCTCTTCCTATAATCTTAACCAAGAAGAAGCCCAAAGTACTTAACTGACTTTTTATAATGAAATAATTTCTATTTCTATGGAAAAGTGCCACCGGAATATGGCAGCAGTCTATGAGTACTCAGTCACCTTGCCACAGCACAGTTTATGTCAGGGAGGGTTTTCCTCCCCAGCTTATTTTAAAGTTTCAAGACTCCTAATTCCCAGCAGATGCAGTGCTACACAAAGATGGCCAGGATGGTCAGGCTAATTCCTCTCACCTTCTGAAAACTGTATCTTCCCTAGGTACTGATGCCATGAGGAAATACAGACCTGAAAGTTTCAAGCTGCTCATTTTGTGCACAGGCAGCATGCAGTCAGCTGCAAGGTGGCACTGGGGGTCTGTGCAGCACCTCAGGGACATCACCCTTTGAATGGCACTCCTGTCACCTGATGTGGTATCAGATGTTACCTGAGATGTACAGGGTCCTGTGAAAGAGAAAAGATATTCTTATTCCAGTAAGGTAAATGCTGGGGTATTGTTAAACAGTGAAAGACAACACAGGTCACTTCCACCTGGTTAGCCAGCAATGTTTTGGAGTTGACACTGCAGGGTAAGAGAAGAAAATTAATTTGTACTTTGAGCAGTCTTCCAAGGGCTGCAGAAGGGTCTACTGGCTCCCTTGTGATGGGGCAACCCTCCTGTTTTCAGTGTTACTCGGGAAGGAGCAGGAGAGAGGAAGCTATGAAACCCATAATAACTATCATAGAGAAAACAACCACAACAATAACAAAAAAAAAAAAAAAAAAAAAAAAAAAAAAAAAAAAAAAAAAAAAAAAAAAAAAAAAAAAAAACAACAACAAAAAACAAACAAACCCAAACTAAATTCTAAAGCCATAATGCTTTGAATTCCCGTAGAAATCACTCAGCATTTACAGAGGACAAGCCCCACTGCAAAACGCCCTCGCACTTGGGCTGTTTTTCCTCTCATCTTCCCTCCGGTGCGTCGCCCGTTGCCTCAAGGCGGGCCGGCCGCGGCTCCGGAGCGCTGCCTTCCCACTCACCGCTCCGCGGGAGCACCTGCCCGCCCGCCGCCGCCTCCCCGCCGGCCGCGGGGCTGCAGGCGGCACAGGCCACTCAGCCGGGCCGGCCGAGCGGTGGCGGGACGCGTCCTCCCGCGGCTCCTCCGAGTCACGGGCGTACCCGTTCCCCGGCAGGTCCTCCGAGTGGCGACCGTATCCTTCCCCCAAAAGGTCCCCGGAGCGGCGAGTGTGTCCGGCCCCCTGCAAGTTCCCGCGGCGGCGAATGTGTCCTTGCCCCAGGAAGTCTTTGGAGTGGCGAACGCGTCCGTCGGTCCCCGGAGTGGCGAACGTTACCGTCCCCGCAGGGGCGAGTGTGCCTGTCCCCCCGCGCCGCTCCAGCGGCGAGTTAACCGGCGGCGGCGCCACGCTAGAGCCGGGCCGGGAGGCGCGGGCTGCAGCTGAGGATCAGCTGCTGAGGGAAGCGGGGAGGAGCCAGCGGGATCAGGAAGCGGCGGAGTGTCTAACACCTCTCTGCCATGGCTGGCTAAAGAAAAATCATCATAACCATAACAAGGGGGGAAGCGGGGGAGGGGAGGCGGCGGCGGGGGAAGGGGCGGCGGGGGAAGGAGCGGCGGGGGGCGGCGCAGGCGGCAGCATGAGGAGGAGAGGCAGCCGGGGGGGCAGCATGCGGTCGGTGGTGGGGTTCCTGTCCCAGCGGGGCTTGGAGGGGGACCCCCTGCTCACCCAAGACTTCCAACGAAGACGCCTGCGGGGCTGCAGGAACCTCTACAAGAAGGACCTCCTGGGCCACTTCGGCTGTGTCAATGCCATTGAATTCTCCAACAATGGAGGCCAGTGGCTGGTCTCAGGTAAAGCGAACGCTCCCGTCCCTCGCCCCCTCCCGCCACCCCCTCCCCAGGAAGCATCTGCCTCCCCGGCCGCCTCCCCTGCGGCCCGGGGGAGGGAAGCCGCGGCAGCGCTGCTCAGAGCCGTTTGCCAAATCCACCGGTGCCCGGGAATGATGTTTTCTCAAGTAGGGATCTAAAATGGTTGACAGGTTTTAAATTCTACTATTATCGGGGGGGGGGAGCCTTGGTCAAAGTTTTTACGAGAGTGTTTCCCGGGCGCTGGGGGTGGGAGCTAGGGGTGCCCTTTTATTTGATGGCTCGCGTGTCTTTCCTCTTAAAAGAGGATTTTCTTATTTTGGGGGGACGACGAGGGGAGAAGAAGCATCCCCGCGGCGCTCATTGTGGGCACCGGGTGACATTTGTCAGCGCCTTGCCCCGGGCCGGGGGTCAGCAATCGCTGCCGGGGGCGGGCGGCGGCCCCGAGTTTGGCCGGGGGGGCTGCACTACCGCTCGGCATCGGGCGGGAACCGGATCGGTTTAATCGAGGGACTGGTCACTTTGGGGCCACCCCCGCCCCATCTTCTTTTGGGGGAGGGGAGTCGGGTTTTGTTTTGTTCCTCCTCCCTCCCCTTGTAGGGCGCGTTTGTGAAAGAGGGGGATATATTTGTGGTGACGGTTTTTGGCTTAAGGTCCCCTCTGTTGCCTGCCCGGGGCTGAGGGAGCCATAGGGGTGGGGGATGCTGTCAGGTGGGCGGGAGGCGAGGGCTTGACATCAGCTGCGACACCGAGGACGGGGAAAGGTTCTGCACCCCCAGCCAGGGAGGGGCTGCGGGGCTCGGCGGCCGGCTGACCGCCTCCCCCCACCCCAGCAGCGCTTGGCGCAGGTGCCTCTTCCTGCTTCCCCGCCTCCGGGCTCCGAGGGGTGGCAGGGGAAGGAGGCAACTTGAGGCCGGGGCCTGGCCGGGCGCTGCAGGCCGCGGTCTCCTCGGGCGGCTCTTAGCGACAGGCCGGGGAATCGCGGGCCGATCCCGCCCGCGGCGCCCCGGGGGCTCGGGCGCTGAGGGGTCGCGGCGCTCTTCTCCCGCCAAGCCCTGGGACCCCGCGCTCCTCTGCGAGGGGGCAGAGACCTTGGAGCGGCGAGGAGGGAGCTGCCGGCCCCGGAGGGACCGCTCGCATCGCGCCGCCCCGGGCCGGGCAGGGCCGCCGAGCGCGGTGTCCATTGCAGGCCGCGGTCGGGGGGCGTTGTGTCCCGGCCGCCCCTCGCCCCCGGGGAAAGGGGCTGGAGGGAGCGGTCCCCCCTTCCCGCGGCTGGGGCTGCCGACAGGGCCCTCCCCAGGGGCCGGGCAGCAGCGGGAAAAGCCCGTTCCCTCTCGTGTGGGGCAGCTGCCCTCGGGGGAATCGCAGAGGTCCTTGGAAGCTTTGTGGAGAGTGGTCTCGCTTGCCGGGGGGTTGCTGACCTGGTTATTAACCGAGGGCCTCGATTTTGCCTGTCCACCTCGTTAAGCAGCGATAGGGACTACCGAGGAATGTGATGGGGGCATGGCTGAGCAATGTACTGCCTTGCCGTGGTGTCTGGGCAGAGGTGAACTGTATCACACAATGGTATCAGTAATAACTTCAAAGGGAATTCAATAAAAAGTTTTTGTGACTGGTTACTTTTAAACAAGGGCAGAATAGAAACCCTGTATAAACATGGAGTGGAAGCCGATACACTGAAACCTTCCTAAATTTAACATTCTTACCTGAAGAAACTTCAAGCATATTTCCAGTGATTTCTGAAGTGTCAATGAAGGATCTCAGTGTTGCTGTTAGGGATTCTTGTATCTTTGTGCACATGCAGCTTCTGAGATATGCATCCATTTAGCTTATGAATATATGTGTGTATACCTACATACATACACACACATGTATATAAACATGAGTGTGTATTGGAAGGGAATGCTGATTCACCCATTCTGAAGTTCCTGTTTGTCCCACTTGTTAATTATACTGGTTTGTATTGGTCCTTCTCCAGTAGAAAGTAGAGGGATGTATTTTTACTTACAAAGTGCTACAGAGAGCTCAAGTGTGTCTGCTTTTTTTTATTTTCCATAATAAGTGATGGAAGCACCACTAGTATTTTCTGTTGTTCTTGCTCAAGAAGGCCTCAGGATATACTTTATGTCTTGCCATATCATCAATGCACTTACCTATGTTGACATCCATTCTTTAGGTGTAAGCATAAACAGTCCAGGACTGGAATGGACTTTTAATTCTTAATTTATTTAATTCTTAATTTAATATTATTCTTAATTTAATTAATTCTGTCCAAACTGCCTGAATCAAGGTAGGTGCAGTGAGAAAATGAAGGCAGAGTTCACATCTAGTGGATATCTAAAAAGTGCATGTAAAAGGAATGCTTTCAAGCAATGTCCAGTTTTCAATTTCCTAACTTGTTATAGAGCTTCAGAATGTTCAGGGAGAGGTGGCACTGTCACCCTCCAATCCACTGTCACCTTTGGAAAACTATAAATGTTGGAGTCAGAAAATAAAGTTATTCTTCTTCTTCCTTTTTGTTCCCCTCGAGAGCAGCAGTGTCTGTGTCATCATTTCGTGCCGTATCACAACAAGGGTAAGGTTTTCCTCCATTTACATGCTAATAGAGTTCTACCCTCCCAAAAAATATATTACATGTGCTAGGAGTGCACAACTTTGGGACAACCAAGAACAGATTACCTTAAGTCTGACCTTCTGCTGATGCCCTGAGAAAATGAAGAGCTCTAATTATGCTTTCTTCTTAAAAATTTTCATTTTTAAGGCCCATAATATCCAGAATGCTTTATGGGCCATAGCAACAGCTATGTGCTTCAGTCAAAAACAAGAAATTAAAAGTACAAATATTTATGGATACTCTGTTAATTTGCATGCCATTATAAGACTAAGGTTCATTAAAATTATACTCAAAGCACTCCTCTTAAAGGCCACACTTGATCCTAAAGCTCTGAGAAATAGCAACAGCAGGAAGAAAAGCAATGAGGAAAGGTAAAGGAAAGGTGGAAGTGGCCTCTACTCTGAAGTTTTGTAGAAAACTTGCTTCAAAAGACTTCCAAATGCAGATAAAGCCTTAGAATTGGTGGCATGAGGGTCTGTCATCCCTCAAAATAGTCAGTGTAGAGAAGGATGAGCTGTTGGGTGTTTCTAACTGCATGTATAGCACTAGGAGAGTTAACAGCTATTCTGGAGTGCATGAAAAGGGAGAGTGTGAGCAGTCTTTTCAGTTGTTCAGTCTTAAGTAATATGTATATTCTTAACCTAGAGAAGTCTGCTTTTGCTGATTGACTTGTTAACAACTTAAATATTGTTAAAACAGTTTTAAGTACAGCTGGTACAGTGCATTCATAGTGGCTACACCAACGCCATTGAAATACTAGCCTGCATCCAGGTTAGTGCTGTTCCCATCACTTGGCTGGAATACTTTCCTTGGGTATGTGTCCCACTTTTTTCTTTTTTTTTTTTTTTTTTTTTTAATGTGTCTCACAGAAGCAAGTCTGTTAAGGCTAATGATTACTGTTTCAGTAAACAATTCAAACTGCTTAAACAGGCTTTGTATTGCAGTTACAGATAATTTTCCTGTTAGGATTTTGGAGAGAACTTTGGTGTGGACAAGCCTCAGCAGGCCCTCCGAAAGCATGTTTGAAACTTTTTGGTATCTTAACTTCTTTAAATCTTGTGTTGGAAAGTACATGTTTAATAGTATTTATTTTTGTTCTTAAACATGTTTCAAAGTTAAAAAGTTGAGGTCCACAAATTGAATTGGAGGACAGTCTAGAGGTTCTTTCTGTGCCTGTGTGACACCTCAACAGTGTCACTTTATAGAGGGGAAGAAGGGCAGAGATTAATCTTTTGGAGCATGGCTGCTAGAAGAAGGGACTGACATAAGAACAAGAATTTTAAAAATTGACGTAATTGGAAGGAGGAGGTGGACACTCAGGAGAAGATGTAATGTGACAAGCATAAAAAAACTACCTGTAGAATGACACAAGGGAAGAGGAAATCTTAACATATAAAAATGTTTTAGTGGGTTGAAATTGGTTAAAACTTGCTTCTGGATGGAGTTGAAAGGTTCTATTGGGCAGAATGTGTCTTTGCAACACTTTATGT